CCAAAACGCCAAGTGCACACACCGTTGTATAGTTACCTGCAAACGTGGACCCCCAATTTTCCCTCTTTTGTTTGTACTTTATTTTTTTTAGGTAGACCTCCCAAATATTTTGTACACGATCATCAATAATGTAAACCTTCGAAGATTGTAGAATTTTCCTCTATTCGGCGGTTCCACGTCCTCTGTCAAATGCATAAAATAAGCTTACAACCTCCACCTACCTCCAAACTGTCCATAAATCTGTTCAATAAAGGCTGAATAATTTTCGTGAAATTTCAAGATTCGTTTACACACGTTTTCGTATCAAAATTTCAACATGAAATTTCACGAAAATTAGACATCTGAAAAAGGCAGCACTTTCTGATTAGCCTATAAAGAGGGTGAGTATGCTTCTAAAGCAAAAATAAACTACAAACTAAGCCTAAATGTGAAAATCAAAATTTGACAAAGTTTGACATGTTTTTGTACATGATGGACGTGTGGCCTATGTTTACGGAGGTAGTCCAGTAAATTGACCATATTTATGGGGCTAAGTAGACTCTGCATACATGTTGACTCTACATACATGTAGAGTCTACTCAGTGCGGGCCACAGACTAGGGCTATGTAAAAACATGCTAAATAATGTTGAGACCTAGGCATTTATGATCATGCCCTTAAGTGTTAGGTTGACCCAAGCAATTGAAGCATTCCTTGAATCCGTGATCTGAGTCGGAAACAATCAGACTCAGAGGAAAAAGATTTTTAATCACATTTTAAACTAAAAATGAACAGATATCACCACACTACTGGCCCATGGTATTTCATAATATACATACAAGTAGGCCTACTGATCAGTTGGAACTGAAAAAAAGGATATTATCGGAACCATGATGTAGCGTGCACTGTGGATGCAACAACGTATACATTTTCACACTTTAAGGCAATCGTACGTTATTAGGCCTACATGTATTATAATCTACTGCAGCACAGCTGTATGCCTAATAAAAGGTCAGAGTTGAACTTTTTCGTCACGTGGCAGTCATGTGACAAAAATACATAGGTCGCCCAAAAAAATTCGAGTGTAGAAGGGCCAAAAAGAAATTAAGAAAAGTATCACTATAAGAAAAATATCAGTATTACTATCTCGCCGCGACAAATTATTATCTCACCGCGACGAATTACTATCTCGCCGCAACGAGTTACTATTTCGCTGCGGCGAATTACTATCTCGCCGCGGCGAATTATTATCTCGCCGCGGCGGGTTACTATCTCGCCGCGGCGAAATACTATCTTGCCGCGGCGAGTTACTATTTCGCCGCGGCGAATTACCATCTCGCCGCGGCGAGTTACTATCTCGCTCAATGACTTACCATCTCGCCGCGGCGACTTACTATCTTGCATCGGCGAGCGTCAGGCACGACGAATATCGATACTTAGAAAGGTAATTACTGTAATGTTCCGCCTTGCGATTGTTACGACCGATTTTGAATGCAACAAGCTCAAATTACCGTTACACAGACATTTTGATGTTCGCGTGCTAAAATCTTTTAACATCAATTTCTCCCGTTTTGAAGTCCGTATCTTAGAGACACTTTTGGAGTTTCTTTCCCTATCATGATCCTACTATTCAGTATTTTTCATTACAATAGAAAAATAGGTTTTGAGATCGTCATTTTTCAATATTTTTAAGCGTCACGAATATAAATAAGGTTCTATCCATATGGAATGCAGTTATAAAGTTTACGACTCCCTCCTTCACGAGTTCTCTACCAATACAATATTAACTTTTTTGGTTGGTTTACATTGGTCTATACAGAGGCCCACGCGAAGTCACGCAGTCACGCTAATTAATATGCTAATAACGCGCATGTCATATATACGTCAACGTTGCGGCAAAACCGGCCACTGACCATGCTTTTTTGCTCAGCAAAATCCGAGCTTGACCTCGGTGATAGGAGATGTAACACAAGCGTCTGCAACATATTAAGCTTAAATTCGGAATATTATAAGTGTTCAACTACTCGTGAAATAACAACTTGTAAGGATTCCTAGAAAAAAGATTGGGGAATTACCTTTACAACGATTTTCCCCATCGTGCGCCTTTTAGGTCAGCTTAATCGGTGACAAGTATTGAAGTTTCTGCATCGTGACAGTTCATCAACGATTGCAAAGTTCATCACCAATCGCGAAAATCCATGACCGATTGCGATATTTCAACACCGATTTCAAAAGTCTATCACGCCCCGCCCCATAAAAAGTTCGCACGCCCAGTCGCCCAACCCTCCCACTGAAAATTTGGCATCCGTAGAAAAACACCTCAATATGAGTTACCATGACAACCTGGAAGAATATAGGCCTATGTCAATTTTTTCCAGCGATTTTCTGCGATTTTTTTTCGTGAGTGGCTGTTTATTACGGTCCCTTGGAAATTGAATAGTGGTAGTTAGTTATCCCGCGAGCGCGAGTGGAACACGGTTATAGTGCATCTATAGTGGCCCGGCCGAGTGGTATGTGGGACACTAGACTAGGGCGGGTATTGGGCGGATATCCGGTGAAGGAACCCTGTCTCACGGCCTTTCAGCTCGGATGAAATTTTAGGGCGCCCCTCCATTGTAACCTCAAGCCCCCCCCCCCCTCCAAGTCCCCTAGGATGAAAACCGTGGCTACGCCGATGCCTCTTTGGCGTTCCATAGGACCCGGAGGGATCGCCATTGTTGTGCCCGACGCTCACCGATACAAAATAGTAATTTGCCGCGGCGAGATAGTAATTTGCCGCGACGAGATAGTAACTCGCCGCGGCGAGATAGTAATTCGCCGCGGCGAGATAGGAGCTAATTTTTTCTTAATTTCTTTTGGCCCTTCTACGCTTCCGTAGGAGCGTGAGTTATTGTGGTTTTCTTTTGATTCGATCAAAATGACACCATTCAAGCGTGCATTTCGCTAAAAATGATACGGGTTTGTTTGTTTCTTTGGAATTAATATCGTCCTCTGGTGTGAAAACGACGTATTGTTGCGGCCTGGCCGTTCATAAAATTGGGTAATCCCAAGATCACAGTAGATTTCCAAAGATATCAGAATTATGTATCAAAATAACAGCACAGACCCTGTTTTATGTGAATGGGGCTCACACAGTGTTTTGATTAACATTTTGCGCATACGCAATCCATACTTTCGTGTGTTCTCAATACGCAAAAACAATCGCAAGGCTCAGCGAAACGTTCCCAAGCCTTGGCCTAAATCCCCAAGATCTTGGGAAAAATCGCAATAATTTTGCAATAATTTCACCCACATTTCATGATTCATGGCTGTGATTCTTTTGTTTATAGAAAGGAAATTTAAGTCCGAGGACCATTTCGTTATCAACTGACGCGTGCGCATTGTGTTTATTGCCTAATGTTGCAGAAACAAATCGTGGCGAGTCGGAAGGAACTGAGGGTGAAGTAATGATAATTAAACTGAAAGTTAACAGTTAACGGGCAATATTTTTTTATTCAATGAGAGCGCTGTGACGAACGACGCCATTTCTACGTATAAACACGGAAGAAAATTCATAGTATCTTTATTACTTCAATCTTAAAATGAAATATTGTGAAACTGTAAATTGTGAAACGTACGTGTATAATCTTGGATACACGTAAAATGGTTGCAGACTGCAGACCAGTAAACTCAGCCTGCAGACGCTTATGTTTTTCGGGACAAAATATAGAATAAAGGTTTCAAAATATCACGATTGAAAGAGCTAAGTATACAATTTATTTAAATCGAAATCGAAACTAATAAAAACTGGAAAGCAAGGAGGAAGTAAAATGTTTGTGTTTTCTTTATGAGCCGAATCGGTAGCAGACTTTATTGACCTGCAATTAACTCTTTCCCCCCCCCCCTCGAAATTTAGGCCTTTCGGCCGTTTGAGGAAGTAATTATCGGGATAATGTCGCGAGTTTGTTGATGATGTCGACACTGAGTTTGTTTACTAACGCCATAAAATCTGGGACTTTTGTGTGGTGATATATCTGTCTCGTGTATCTCATACAAACAAGCTTTAAAAAATGATTCATCTTAAAATAATAAGTAAAAAGATAAGCAATAAAATATAATGAACAATGTGTGCCATCGTGTTATAAATCTGAATTCTTATATAAGATTAAAGTTTTTAACCGATTACATTTAAGACAATAAAAATACCGAGTAATGTTCTTGGATAAGCACCGTAACTATACAATTTGGTATTATTCTCGGGCATGGGCGTCGCCAGGATGGGGCAAGGGGGGGGGAGCGCCCCCCCCCGGAAAAGCAGACAAAAACAAAAACGACCTCCCCCCAAAAAGAGGTTCGAAGTCATATTGCTGTTAATTTAATGCACATTAACAACATGGGCATCCGTAGGGGTGTCAATGGGGGTGGGGTGGGCAAATGTCCCCGCCGCCCATCCTCGAAAAAAAAGATAAATTGAGAATAATGCTAGAGAAAGGACAAGGATTTTAGGAAATAATGTGTTTTGCCCCCCTCTAGTAAAAAATCCTGGCGACGCCCATGTTCTCAGGTTTGAACTGGCAATGACGCTCGAGGACTGTGCCTACTCCTCCTCCCCCCTCCCCCCAGTGGCGCACCCAAGGGAGGGGGCCTCGTGGGTCTTGAGCCCCCCCCCCCCAAGATGTTGTCAATTTGTTGTGTGTGTTGGTAATAGTCCCTTAATTTGACCTTGGTGATATGAATGTGGCCTATTTTCGAGTAGTATACTAGTGGTGTATCAAGTGGCGCCACCAACGTAAAAATAGTCCCCCTCCCCCCCCCCCCCCCCCTCTGCGACCAAAAATTTTGGGCAACATTATTTGAAACAAAATTACTTTTACTAAAAAAAAAAATTGTGAGCCCCCCCAGCCAAATCCTGGGTGCGCCACTGCCCCCCCCCCCTTATAATCTAGGAAAGCGTAAAAGAACTTTGTATTGTTAAAGAAAATCCATTGAGGGCCAAAGTGCCCCCCCCCCCATGAGAGGTTCCACATTAGTACGAATCTTGGGAGCATATGATGTGCAGAGAAACTCGAACTTTGACTTCGAAATGAAAAAACACGAGTCATTTGTTTTCCATTCTGAACTCAACTTTTAACTTAAAAAGCCTAATTCTACGTGTGATTGTGATGCTTGACTTCCTGCGTAGATATTTTTTTTACAATGACCATTGATTTGTACAGTCCACGATGTCTAAAAGACATGGAAATCCGAATGACAATTGATTAATGAAAGAAAAGACAATTTACAATTAAACATAATTATAAGAACTGCACAGTTCCACATATTAACGGATCACTAAAATAGCTAAACCGTCCAGGTAATCCTTCGTTCTAAAAAGGCACGGTTCAAGCCTTCAAGGGCAATGTTTTGGAAAAAGACTATTATCCGATAATGTTTCAGAACTAGTATCCGTTTAATTTTCTGTAATTTTGAAAAAATTATCGTGTAATAATTACATGTAAGAATTTTGAATTTCATTTTTTTCATTTCACACAAATAATCTTCTCCGTTCATTATTTAAATCAAATTGACGTATCCGATTACGTAACTATCTTTATGGCTAAACTGGCAATGTATCTTGATCGTGAGCATGCATCCTATGACATAAATTGAGATTGGTTTTCATTCATCATTCAACGAAAATACAAAAGTCTGATGTCATCTATCGAGATCTTATCTTCCGAAGGCATCCAGAAGGTTCAGGAATCATGTGGTACCGACACCGCAACATGTGACGGAACACCTCCTTGAAGTGTGGGTGTTTGGCCCCGTAGATAATCGGATTGATAGCGCTGTTGAAGATGATGATCATCCCAGTCCAAGGAATGACCGGGTCGCTGGGTGGTATCATGAGGGCGATGGCGAAGGGAGCCAGGCAAGCAACGAAGGCACAGACCACGTAGAACAGGTTCTTAGTGATTTCCACCTGTCGCTTACTGAAGCTGGCAGGTGGATTCTTGTGGAGCTGTGTGGTGCTTGCCACGTTGGAGGAATTCGAAGTATCTGTCATTTCAACTCCCTTGCCTTTCCCCATCATCTTCTTCATGTGGCCTGTGATGTGGCGGTAGATCTTAAAGTAGCACACGAAGAGGACAATCAGAGGGATTGGGTAGATCAAGGCAGAGCCCACCAAGCTGAAGAAGTCACTGGTTTCGTGGGATGTGTCTTGGGTGCAGGTCTTGTACTTATCTGAGTAGCCCCATTTACCGACTCCAAAGATAGGACTGATGGAACACACCAGAGCAGGGTAAACCCATGTGAAGGCCACCATAGCTGCAATCTTCTTGGGTGTGTAGCTGGAGCGGTAGGTAGCTGTTGTCTTAGTGATGAGAACAAAACGGTTAATAGAAATAGCAGCCAAGGTCATGATGCTACAGGCAAGGCTACCGAAGCCAATGGCAGCCATGATGGAGCAGACGATTTCGGGCATAGGCCAACCATTCATGCTGAATAGCGCCACCGCCGAGAAGGGTGCAGAGAAGCACGTCACCAGGTCAGCTACAGCCAAGTTGACAACGAAGACGTTGGTGCGTGTTTGGAGTTTCCTTGACAAAATGACAGCCAGGAGGACCATGACATTGCCCACAAAGCCGACGACAGCCACCAGACAGACGATGGTTCCAATGATGGCTCTCTGAGTATAGTCTTCAAAACGAAAGGTTCGCCCATCTCCTTGGGTCGTGGTTTCTAACATTCCTGCAGTTGTCAGGTTCTCGGTCAGAAAGCTCTCAGATGTCGCCATGAAAGAGTCGTCATCGGAAGAGTTTGTAGACATGGTGCTGAAAATTGTCTCATTGTCTAGTGTTATGGTGGACACGGCATCGGTTGCCATGGTGAGTGTACCGGTTGTCATGGTGATGGATGAAACCCTCAATTCAAAATGATGGAATATCTCCGTTGATTTCACTTCGCACGTTAGGGGCAATCTTTGAACTGGACGATCAGTTTTCTGGTTTGAGAAAAAAAAATACAATGTGTTTTAGGAACCTCTTCAAGCAAACAACTTAGATTGTTATCAAAATAAATCACTGTCCTGAAAAGATGTTAAATATATAGCAACAAGACGCGCATGGAGGACCAGCAAACTACAAACTGGTTAGCCACGAGACAATTTCATCACCCTCAAATAATGAAGCTCTAAAACAAACAAAGAAGTACATTTTAAGAAGACAAAAAAAAGACGAAACAGAAGGCACAGCAACTCTATAACGTTACGCGCACGTGTAGTCTTGGTGTAAGCCGTTCTTAGCGTGGTAGTTCACGATAGACGGTTTACAGCCTTTGTACTGCGCAGCACGCAGCATTCATTTTCCATTCAAGAACCTGACTTGTCGACGACCCGCTGTCCTTTGCGGGTGCTAGCGTGTGTGGGCGCCCGCTTCTGTGAATTGCTGCACAGTCCAATAAGCCCTTACGCGCTCAAACATCGCTCCCGCTCTGCAGGCAAAGAAGTCTTGGAACTAGTGCATGTGCAGTGAAAATCTTTACGTACCACGGTCACAAGGGTAAACTCCATGGAATTTGGCATACAAAATGTTTTTTTAGTGCGTTGCTATAACAGCGACGTTGCGCAATGGTGGGAAATACTCTTTTCGGGACAAGGAAGCAAAGGACAAAATATACAGCTTGCTTACTGTTGAAAGACCTTTGGAAAATTATTTCTATAATAACAATTAGAGTATTGCTTGCTATTAACATATGCTTATTAAATGGCCCTAACTTAGTAAAAAAAAATTGATATCGGTAAGGTAAAACCCTCGTTTTAGCTTTTCGAGTTTTCAATTTACGAAAAGTTCGTTGAGCGCTTCCTTTCAAAAGCCGATCTATCACACAATATAGTTTCGAAAATGACATTGTGTAATTGTCGATTAAATTACCAGAAAATCATGACTCATGATTGTAATGCAAGGACCAACGTACGCCCTCAACAATGTGGGGAAAACCATACCGACTATAAAAGTAAGATTGTGAAATATTAACCTACATTGCTTTCCGTTCTTTGTTTACCACATTGGACCCATGACTCTCTGAGTGGTTTCCTATCAATGATAAACCTAGCTCATTCTGACACGTCTACCATGTGACGTCACTATCCGGGTTACTATCTATATAGATAGCGATAACACGAAGATGGACTGGGGTTGGTTGGATCATGGTTGGATTTGGTTATTCATGACAAGAGAGAACAAAATATACCTTGAATCCTTTTGCCATCTGCTATGGACCTCGTCACTATTTTTTAATGCAAAAACACATGCTTGTGCACACTTTTTACCTAACCTTCCATACCTACTGTGGACATTACTTTGTATACGTGTAGTTAAGAAAAAAAAACGGATAAAAACTTATTTTACTTGCACTCTGAACACTCTTTCGACCCGAATTCTCGATCATGATTTCCATGACTGTTTCTCTTCATTTTAGTGCGACTGATAACCCTAACCCCAAAATGCATCTAAAACTGTTTTTCAGAGAGGGGGAAACGTTGTGCGCATGTGGGCAAGTCCACACAACGTTCACACTTCCTGCACCCTGTGGATCTCTGTTGTTCACAGGTCCACAAAGATATGCAATGTTAGAGCAGTTTTTCGGACTTTTTGGTTTTCTGTGCATGCACACTTACCATCAAAAGCCGCGAGAAACAGCCTTGATAGAAGTATGGGTTTCTAGTTCTGTTACATGTTATGATGTATCGATAAAGTTTAGGATAAGTAAAGAATGCATTTCTCTTCTGAAATTTTGAAAAATAGTTAGTTTGATGAAGCTATCTTTTGGAAGGAGCTTCAATTGGCCCTTTCACACTAGTTTTATAATAGTCTTTAAAGTCTTTATGTTCGGATTTGGTATGGTAATGCAAGTTATGGCTAGTCTGAGTATCACCCGTTCTCCACAGAGCCATAACCGGCTTCGCCAGGGCCAGGGTATATAAGTATTACATAGACTAAGTTATGGCCAAGATAATCTTGACATAAATATTAAAGACTATTAATGTGATTCTATCTTCATGCAGGATTACAAACCATCGTTGACGTATATACTGCTTAACATAACGTATCATTAGCCGAAAAAAAAAATTATTATCGAATACATTACAACTAGTAAAGGATTCATTGTTATATCCCGGCGGTACCATGTATCTCGTTTCGAATTTCCCACAAAACCCGCGGGAACATACATAACCACGAAATTCTCAGACTTGTTCGTGTTCTCTCCCGAGTCCGATGAGTAGGCCTATACGTTCCTTGCTCTATGAATATACCTACTCTATACAGAGTACACGCATATGGAGAGCACCATTTCATTTCTTCAACACGAATTTCATTGTTGATATCTTCGGTTAAAGACGTTTCACACTTGAGCTTGTAATACCTAACCATTATTACTGTACTATAGTTACTGTGACTAGTTTATACTTACATACGTGGAGAGAGCAAGGCTACTTCTTGTGTGTAAACTCGCCCAGAAAGTGTAATCTTCACCGTAGCCTTAACATGGGATGGCCAATACAATTCTATCCTTCCAATCTTCGATGGTAGAACTATTATGATTCAATGGGAAAGTCCCATTTCAATACAGTCTCTTTATTGGTTCATTTGTTTTCCAGTGATTTGATCACACACGGATACGATGGCCATGACATAGTTTCCACACAACAACATTCAACTTTGGAACTCCGCTCGAGTACTAGTAGTGCTAGACTGTATATTATTAGTAGCGTGAGCAATGCCGCCAATGCGGAACTTCTTGTGGTAAAATATTGGGTTACAACTTCAGTTGACCTTTGACACGATAACTCCTGGAGCGAGGTCGCGATAGGTGTCAGACAGAACAGGTTCTCTTTGTTTTCCCGGTGGAGTATGGATCCCGTATGTACTGTACATGCAGGGTTGCAACTTGAAGCGGGATAAGGGATTTCAAGGGTATGCTTAAAGTGTTTTCCTCCAATTAATTAATTATCACCTTTACGCAAAGCACTACACAAATCAACAAGGCGAAGGATGATTGTGGCATAATTATCCTCAATTGGAATTTATTTTCCAGTGAGCAAAAAACGTACTACATGTAGTTGAAATGGAATTTACATTGAGCATATTTTTTTAAAGCTTGTACCATTACTCAGATCAGAAATATATTAAAACTACGGGACATCACTTTTTGGTAAAACTTTTTGCAAAGTTCACTTTAAAAAAAAAATGTTTCATGACTTTCCTGACAACTGAGGGTGCTGTTGCTGTGATGTCACTTTTTAGAAAGACACGCTTCAGCTGTGTTTTTCCCTTCCAATAGTACACCATAAATTCTGCTATGTAACACATCTGTGCATAATGTTTTCTCATTTGTCTATATTATTGTTACATACTAAAACAACAATGGACCAATGGAAGCAGAAAAATACATAACCTCATCAAACCCCTGAAATTCTGGTGACTTTGTATATGCTCAATTCAAGCAGATGTGACACTGCAAGTTTCTGTATTGAATAATGACATCACAGTTTTGCTCATACATATGGAAATTAGCTTTAGCCTAAAAACCAAAAAGGCACCAAAAACGCCCTTAAAAAATGGCAATTTGATTATGATTAAAAATATAGATGAATGGAACACAAAGGTACATTTCAAAAAATGGAATTACATGAGCCTTTAAATGATAACAGTAACTTTAATACCTATCAAGATATAATTCTCCCTTAATCTTTATTGTACCGTGCACAGTCAGTGTAACTTGGTGTTTTGCTGAAATGTCCACCAAAAACAAAAACAACCTTCTTATTTGTAAAGATTTACCTAGGGTCTAAACCTACTCTATTAAAAGCTGAGAGCCTATGAGATGAGACACGCTTTTGTACACTGAGTCAACTTGGTCGAGCCTTCGTGTGCTTTTCGCTTCCTTAATTAAATTTTATGCGTCACTATACTGCAGCGGCCTGACCAAACGGAAAACAAAAACTGTACACCAATAAATAGTAATATTTGCTTCAATTCTAATCAGATTCGTCCTATAAACTCGATTTATCGACTTTTCCGGAGTGATCGAGGATTATCCTGAATGGATCCTCACAATGAAGAGAACATAATGTACTGGTCTAATATTTCGATCTGATTTTTCGAAGACATCCAGAAGGTTCAGGGACCATGTGATACCGGCACCGCAACATGTGACGGAACACCTCCTTGAAGTGTGGGTGTTTGGCCCCGTAGATGATCGGGTTGATAGCGCTGTTGAAGATGATTATTAACCCAGTCCAAGGGATGACAGGATCACTGGGAGGGATCGTTAGGGCGATGAAGAACGGAGCCAGGCAAGCCACGAATGCACAGAACACATAGAAGAGGTTCTTAGTGATTTCCACCTGCCGCTTGCTGAAACTAGCAGGTGGATTCTTGTGGAGTTGCGAACTGGTTTCGGGATGAGAGGAATTTGAAGTATCTGCCATTTCAACATCTTTACTTTTGCCCATCATCTTCCTCATGTGGCTGGTGACGTGGCGGTAGATCTTGAAGTAGCACACTGACAAGATGATCAAAGGGACGGGGTAGATCAGTACAGAGCCTATTAGGCTGAAGAAATCACTAGTTTCGTGGGAGGTGTCTTGGGTGCAGGTCTTGTATTTATCCGAGTAGCCCCATTTACCGACTCCCAAGAAAGGAAGGCAACACACCAGAGCAGGGTAAACCCATGTGAAGACCACCATAACTGTAATCTTCTTGGGTGTGTAGATGGAGCGGTAGGTAGCTGTTGTCTTGGTGATGAGGACATACCGGTTTATAGCGATTGCTGCCAAGTTCATGATGCTACAGGAAAGACTGGTGAAGCCAATGGCGGCCATGATGGAACAGACGATTTCTGGCATAGGCCAACCAACCTTGCTGAGCAGTGCCACCACGGTGAAGGGCGCAGAGAAGCACGTCACCAGGTCAGCTACGGCCAAGTTGACAACGAAGACGTTGGTGCGTGTTTGGAGTTTCCTTGACAAAATGACAGCCAGGAGGACCATGACATTACCCACACTGCCGACGACAGCCACCAGACAGATGATAGTTGCCATGATAGCTCTCTGAGTATAGTCTTCAAATCGAAAGGTTCGCCCGTGGGACGTGGTTTCTAACATTCCCGCAGTTGTCATGTTCAAAGTAACAGCATTGTCATTGGTAGAGTTTACATTCATGGTGCCCAAGAGTGTTGATGTCATGGTTGACATAATCGGTTGCCACTGCGACTATTCAGCAAACTAGACTGGCTCAGTCGTTGATCTCCTGCATTTCCATCTTACATTTGGCGTAAATGATGTAGATTGTAGCTTTCTGTTTTTGAAAAAAAGGGAAAAGATCGTGATACGTGATGCTAAACAATAAGACCATCTCCTCTTAAAATGCAGCAAACTAAGTGTTAGTACGTCCATTGAGAACAATTCAAAACTGCGAGTGTACTTACATGCTTTACGTGACGTCAGCTTGCTTGGTATATAACTCAAGATGTTTCTGTGTGGCTCAAGAAGAAAACTGAAACACTACTTTTTCACAGTAGCTTGAGCATTGGGGAAATTAGCCTGGAATGGAAATGAACATGATGGGTATACCTTGTCGTTCCCAATGTCAACGGTAGAACTATATGAAAATCCCATTCCACACAAGACTCGAGACCTTATATGTTTTCATTGGAAAGTCATCCTTGATCGTCAAACCCGGATGTAGAAGGCCAGACATCCGAAGTGAAAGGTCAACATTAGAATTCGTATTGTTTTGTGTTTCGTTGCAGCTAGTCTACGAGTCGAACGTGACGTGCATGTCTGTGGTAAAATACTTGGTTATATACATGTAGTAGGCCTATGACCTTTGAGCTTTGACATACTGGAATTAAAAGTGAGTTTCAGACGCAATAGTCAGTGGGCATGTGGGGTCCATAATGCATTGTTGGGTACACTATTTGAAACTCTCTTATACGGATACCTCTGCAAGTTCAAAACCACTCAATTGAGGCCATTTTTATCTGACCTTTTTATGGGCGGGGCCATGACATTAAAAAGTGGGGGCTTCGCCCGCAAAAAGTGATTCCGATAATTTCACTTTTCTTTTGCGCACTTGGACAGCTCACCCAAGTGCTACATTATGATAATAAAATAATTTTAGAATGTTGCCTCTGTTTCGGGTGGGGCCACATTTAAAAAAAAGTGGGGGGCTAAAGGCGTAAACAGAAAATCTAGCGGTTTTTTTAAATCCAGTATAGTGAACAGGGGTGGGCAGAATGTTTACATGTCAAATAAAAAACCTACCTAGCTGGTAGTCTTTTTTTGGGGCGTAAAACTAAAATGTCAAAAAGTGGTAGGAAAAAAGTGTTTTCACATAAAAGGCCAAATTTATGTCGTTTTTTGTCTGAAATCAGCGAAATAATAGTTTAATCAGCAAATGTTTTTCAAACTGCTATAATGTTCATTTGACAACTGAATTTGACACAAAATTTGATTGGTTAGCTTACTCAAATTTACCCATTTGCTGTTTTTTCCCCTACCCTTATATTATTAAAATACTTTTTAAACTACCATAAAGTAACACTTTTATGTGCCAAATTTGCTTCAAAGAAAAGACGTTCAAGTTCCGTTTTCTAATTCCAGTGAAACAATTAATATGGATTCAAGGACAAAAGTAAACGTTTGTTTACCATTGCCCGTTAAAAAATGTACTCCCTCTTGCATAAAAGCGAAACACACTGTTATTTGCTTTATCTTTAGAGTGCTAAGGCCAAATTCAGAAAAATATTCGCATAAGTTTGGATTATTGTTATGATATCTTGTAATTTCTGTTTTCCCCACTCCCCCCCCAATTATAAAGGTGTCCCGCCCCTTAAAGAGGAAGTTTGTACAAAATTGTGCTTTAACATGTAATTCTCAAAGTTTTTCCATTTACTGCAAAACTCTTGATAAATGACTCTCCTTTTGGGATTATTTCGCCATTATTTCTTTTTCAAATGGACGCCTCTCTCACAAAAAAGTCAGAGTAAAAATGGGTGTTCAATTGTACATTCTTCATTTTGGCTTAAAAAAAAAAAAAAAATTAGCCCGAAAATAAGTAAACTTCTAGGGTAGACAAAAATGGCATCAAGTGAATGTGGGTTCTATAGTGTTTCATTAATGAAATGTTCAAAGAATGTACCCAACATTGCATATGGAAGCATGATGATTTTTGACCATAAGCCGACTGACTGCAACTCTACTTCCGATGGAACATGCAACTTGCCAGTACATGATTTTGGTAAAGACATTTATTTTAATGTAATGTAGAGATTAATGACTGCCGGTAAGCTACCGTTATTGTCCCGCAACATTACCAATTATACTTTATGGAAAAACTGAATTTTTCGCTGGTCCCAGAAGGGCCAGCCTACGGTCCTAGCTATTTGTACCTTTGTACTGTCTTTGGACTGACTGATTGATTTAATGACTGACTAACTTTCTGATTGACTGACTGACTCCCCAACTGACTTACTGTGTTTTGTTATTTGTGACCAACTACAGTTTCTGCATATATTCTGCATGCGACTGGTTGATATTATCGACCCATTGTGTGAACAACAGTGAAAGACTCATTGAATAGCTATTCTGAATCAACTAAACAGAATTTGGTGCGCTCTCAGACCAGCTTTAGTAGGCTTGTCATGTCTTGTTTAAACAATCGAAAACGTTGGGTCGTGTTCTGTTTATTTTAGCCGACTGAAGTTTGTCGACAATTTGTCTCCCGAATAAGTACCTTTCAAAACTCCGTCTGCGGCCGTAACAACTATTATGCACACCAAGGGCATGCTATAAAGTTTCACACTACGGTACTTCCGGCGAGTTTGCGTACGTGTTGTGCCTCACGTCGGTCCGTGGCACTGGCATGCATGGTGTAAAGCATACCCACATGACCCGTTACTCTATCCAAGCTGACCCTACGACACAGAGTTATTGTTTTAGAGGTCAAGCTCATGGAATTTACCGCCAAAGCTATAGGCCTAGGCCCACCCCACTTGATCCTTTGCTCCAACCATGGAGAAATTCTCCATGCTCCAACTATAAAATTCAAGACTTTTAAATCATTGACCTACGCATATATGTTTGCTATGTCTCAAAATTGCTTTCCCCATGCTCTTTAACAAATTAGATTTCTTTCTTTTAATATATTTTCAACAGCTTAATTCAGGCCAAAAAATATATCTCGGGGGGGGGGGGGCTGTCTGCAGCAACCCTCTGAAAAAAAAGTTTTGTATTTTTGGGGCGCAGACATCCTCCTTGCAAGCAGACATGGCTCCCGGTTCGTACAATATCGATACCGATTGTGGGGCAGGAACCAGCCTATCTCACGAAAACGGAATTATTGTGAGCCTGCATATGTAATTCGAAATTTATAACTGAGTAAGAATTTAATAACTTATAAACATGCTGGGCCGTTTTTTTTTCGGTCGATGTCTCATTCAAAATGGAACTCGAAAATAGCACTGCATGTTGGCAATGCAACTTTACAAAAAGTGAAGTTTAATACTGTGGAACCAGCGTAACAAAGTATAATTTGTACCTTTTGATTTTGTTTTGTTTGAGAGATACATGTTCAGCACAGACACGAGAAAGCACTCTATAGGACAACCAATAAATGAAGTCAAAATTAACATCGAGCTTCAAAATGATTGAGCAGTTAGAAAACTTGCTGCATTATAAATGACATATCACATCAGATTTTCAATAAACAAGTGCAAAATTTCCACGAGATTTCCCCAAAACGTGTTTTGGAGCTCATTTGTAATTTCCTTAAAATATCGGATATATATTACCGTCCAAGTGTCATTGTTTTCTGACACCTCGACCCCTAGAAGCCAGCATATCCGCATTTCTAGCGGAAACCACGGCGGAAATTCGAGGTTTTGTTTCCTCCCAAATCTTAACTCCCTTGCTAAAATTTTCCTCATTATTCTGACTCATAAGAGGTCATTAACTTGCATCATGGTGCGCCAAGAAATTTGTGTGATAACAGAAAGGGTGACTTTGGGGATTTCCCCCTTGCAACAAAAATGGGTCAGTCCAAGGTTTTCCGAAGGATCGAGATGTGGTAGGCGCACAACCGACAAGTTTATAATCACTCAACGGGCCGGAATGAATTCATTTCTACCCCCGTGCTGGTGTGCTCCACAGTGCTGAGTGCCGTGAAGAAGTGAGACACTTGAGTTGTGTTTACCAAGTCAGTATCGTTCCTCCTATCCACCAGCTGCCGACTGGAAAAGTGGATCTGTTCCTAAATCACTGCCTCCATCGTCACAGAAACCTCCAGTAAGTCAACCTGTAAATAGTTGTTTGACAATCCTCAATAATGTTATTTTAAAAACAAAGTATGAAATGGCCTGTATTTTACTGATGTGATTTAGTTGCACTGTTGCAGCTTCAAGGAGCACGGTGGGATGGGGTGCACCTCCGTCAAATATATCAAACACAATAGACCTATGGCCGCGTCTGACTTGCTTGGCTACGGCTAGCTTTTACACATGCGCCTATGGAAGTACACTGTAGTTGAAGCCAGTAGTTGAAGCCAGTTACTGCCAAGTTAATGGCTTAATCACGGTTGTTACAATTAAAGGCGTGTACATACATACATATTTCGACAAAATTGTATTGTCTAGATCCTGTACTTGCCTTATTTTAAAGGTCTGGTCATAGTACGGAGCCAACGATGAACAAATTCATCTGACTCGGCAGCCGTTTTTTGGCCTTGTCTGTATAATTTCAAGTAAGAAATTTGAGCCACATCAAGAAAAGGCAGGCACTGCGTATTAGTATTATGGTAATAATACGGTAAACGGGCAAAATATGTTAACATTCCAATTCTGTATTTAAATGAATTTTCCGACTTGAGCACTCTCGTACATTTCCTTTAAGAGCCCAAAACAAAATATGTCATTGGCATCGAAACCTATAGTGACTTGCCGAATTCCTGTGTCGTAAGTTGGGCGATGATGTCATATGCACAACTTTCTGCAAACCTGCACAGTTTAGTCGTGGGTGCAAAATCCATCCGTCAGTATAGAGTTTAAAACGGCATATCCTGCCGTATTGATTTACTTTACTTCGCTTCTTGTGTTTTTATCAGATGTGGATTCGCTTTTATTTTTCTTGTATGACTTATGTGCCGGTTGGACTTTTTACCAACGTTCCTAAACAAAAAGCAGCTTTGAATCATCCTTTTGTCTCTTGCTAAATACAAAAGATAATTAAATAAATAAACTAAACAATACTTGGAAACGTTTTAGAAAGGAAGTCCACCCCCCCCCCTTCAAAAAAATTGAATCATCCTTTTGAATCATCCTTTTGTTTCTGGCTAAAACCAAAAAATAGTTAAATAAACAAATAAATAAAGAGTACTTGAATCTTCATTTAAAGATTAAACATTTGGTTTCATTTCCTGCTAATTGTGACAGGGTGGTTGCTGAAATACAGGACGGTTGCTCTGAATCACCGACAATCAACGACGAACAGTCACTGTAGCAGCATCCACTGATCTCACCATCAATGAATATGTTCACAGTGACAAGCGAAATGGCCACGACAATGGTACCAGAAAACATGACATTCGTTAGCAACATGTCGTCAGATTTTCTGTCATCTGATTTCACGACATCTGACGCACTTGACGCAACCAGTGTCAGTGTCAATTCGAATATGACAACTACAGCAATGATGGAGACCACGACTCAAGGTGACGGTCGCAACTTTCGCTTTGAAGACCCCGTACAGCGGATCATCATCGGCTGCGTCTACAGCCTCGTGGCAGTCGTTGGCTTCGCTGGGAACTTCATGGTCATCCTGGCTGTCATTCTGTCAAGGAAACTCCAAACCCGCACCAATGCTTTTGTCGTCAACTTGGCCGTGGCTGACTTGGTGACATGCAGCACTGCTCCGTTCACAGCGTTGGCGCTGTTTAGCATGAATGGCTGGCCCTTACCGCTGATCGTGTGCTCAGTGATGGCTGGTCTGTTCTATACCAGCCTGGCATGCAGCATCATGAACCTTGCTCTGATAGCCATCAATCGGTTCGTCCTCATCACAAAATCCTCTAAGACTTACAGATCTGTCTACACTCCGAAGAAGATTGCAGCTATGCTGGTCTTCACGTGGGGGTACCCGGCTCTGGTGTGTAGTTTTCCCCTGTTTGGTATCGGCAAGTGGGGCTACTCTGAGAAGTACAAGACTTGCACACAAGACACTTCCCATGAGACTAGCGATCTCTTCAGTTTGCTCGGCTCTGCCCTCATGTATCCCATCCCGTTGATCATCCTCTTCGTGTGTTACTTCAAGATCTATCGCCACATCACCAACCACATGAAGAAGTTGTCGGGTAAAGGTGTGGAGCTAGCCGAGACATCAAACTCCTCCACCGCCAGCACCAAGCGACTCACCAGGAACCGACCGGCCAGCTTCAGTAAGCGACAGGTTGAAATCACGAAGAACCTGTTCTACGTGGTCTGTGCCTTCGTTGCTTGCCTGGCTCCCTTCGCCATCGCCCTCATGATACCACCCAGCGACCCGGTCATTCCTTGGACTGGGATGATCATCATCTTCAACAGCGCTATCAACCCGATCATTTACGGGGCCAAACACCCACACTTCAAGGAGGTGTTCCGTCACATGTTGCGGTGCCGGTACCACATGATCCCTGAACCTTCTGGATGCCTCCGTAAGATTAGATCTAGATAAGATGCTTCCCAGATGCTATTCACAGCATCAGGAGTGTGAGAATGAGACAAACAACTCCCCTAGAAATGACTGTAGAGAAATACATTCTGCAGATTAAAAAAACTATTATGCAAGCAACTGACATGTTTCTGAAGATTTTTTTTCTGTCGGTTTCATGAAACCATAAAATATTCCACATGAGTAGAGGGTTTACTGGGGGTTGTTTAACCATACAATTCTCTGACGAATTAAATATTAATGATGTAGCATGTACGTCTCGTCGAAAAAAAATATGCCTATAATATTGACATTATTATGCAGATAACTTTTTGAAGTGAAATTGAAAAAAAGCCATATGTTTGTATGCCGAAGCCTAAAAGTGTAGAATAACAAGTGTCATCTGATGAACCAATTAATTAACACATGTACAGGTATCATCTTGACTATTTCATATATCAATGTACAATTACTTCAGTGAATCTATTACACATGATTGTATTAAGAATGTAATTTCCATCTTTTACCTGCATGCTTTCCTGCACGTGTATTTGTTAAGACGAACTTTTAGGTCACATATGTAAAACTCTTGAGAGTATACGCTTGTAAATGCAATTTTTTTAATAGAAAGTTAAAGGACTTAACATCATGTTAAAGGACTTAACATCAATATACATGTACAGCGTACAAAACGTTAAGTCTAATGTGTGTTTATTGTGATTTTCCTTCTCCCCAGTGGTGTAACTGGGGGAGGGGGGGGGGGGGGCCGCAGGGGTGGACGTGCCCCCCTCCCGCGGATATCCGTTCCCCTACCCATTTCAAATCTTGAATCGAAACAAATTATACTAAACTAATGAAATGATACATTTAATTTGCCTTTAATGCCCCCTTGAAAATTGATGCACCCCCAGGTACCGCAAAAGTTTGACCCTAGTGACGTCATTGCTCCTCTCTGCCCGAATCCTGTGCGTTGCTCGTCAGCACCCAGTAGCGGATCTACAGGTGGGGTCGCACCCCCCCCCCTCGTTCATCCGCTGACTATAATGTTATGAAACTAGTATATGGGGCAAAAAACAACTAGTATATGGGGCCAAAAACAATCAATGGAATGCTAAAGTTCTTAAATGTATTCTCAGATTGCCTTGGAATGTAGGAGAAAGCATCGTAGATGTCATCGGCACGCCTTCATTCAACCCCCTCCAACTTCATATCAAACCCCTCCCCCCTGTTATGAAAGCTAGATCCGCCCCTGGCACCCATGCATCACATTGCACAATGTGAACCGTCGCTCTCCCCACCTTCACATTCATTAAAGGGCGAAGAAATAGGTGACCTCTGAACTCTTGACAATATTTTCTGAAGGATATTTATGCAAATTCTTGTTGACGGTGATTGCCATGATCATGTAAATGCACGTACATTCCGCGTGGACGCATAATACACACGGGGAAATGTTGAGCCAGGTCACCAGCGAAACAAATCCAATGCGAGCGCAGTAAATTAAAGATGCATTCCCCGTGCTATTTTCGAGTTTCATTCCGAAAAAAATAGACTCCTTTTAGTTTCTAGCAATACCAAAGTGATTCATTTTTTTAATGAGACATACACTGAAAAAATTGGCCATGCATGTTCAGTTTACTTATTGAGTGATATTATGGTTATATAATACTTTACAATTTGGACTTATTGTCTGCCAGACAATAATTCCTGTTCTCGCGGGGTCTAGGCTAATTCACGCCCCACAATCAGTACCAACAATGTATGTAACGTCTCTTGTGGGGAGTCGTTACCAAATAAAGAGTCATCAGACGATGGATATGCTTGTATCTTACCATAGAGCTAGCGTCTTACACACAGAATAACAAGGAATATCTACATCTCAATAGAGGGCGCATCATAGTAATGTCAGGTTTGATCCTACAGGGTGCAACAGTGCAAAAATATCCCATGGCCACTAGTGCTAAATGCCCATACTTTAAAATTCTTTTAAAAATACTCAGAACTCTCACAGGTATTTAAGCTGCACAGAAAAATGATGATCGACTTGTCATCTTTCAATTTCTTTTCATTTTTGGTGGGTTGACCATTCACTTTTCGAGAAATTCTCGTCCAAAGAAGACGACCCCTATTTTCCCCAAAGCGGAACGGTAGCCATCTTGAAAAACGATCCCTCCTCAACATGGCAAAATAGCGCCACTTTCGAGCCCAATTGTATCCAACATGCTCAGAATTGGAAGCCCCGAGTCAGGGCCAGAGGTTCATTGCCATATCTCTTCAATTCCCCAATGTTATGGCTCTCAGAACTCTCTAATATATAGAATATTTTGAGGGTATAACTTTTATTCATGAGCTCGGCGGATGGGTTTAGGCCTATTTACAGGTGTGTAGCCCTAGCATCAAGCCTAGCATCAGAGAACATGGAGAGCGTTCTCCCTCCATGCAAATGTTGGCTGAGACCAGAGAGAGTAATGAAGGGTCAGTGTCCGACTGGCGAATTATTTTTCCCAAACAAGATCCGACAATATAACAAGGAATAATTCACCGACGATTGGCAGCTGATTCGTGCACTGGTTGGAAGTAGTCCTGACTTCTAATCAGGTGATTTTTCACTTCTTCTCATTTTACCTTTTCAATGACTAAAGTGAGGAAGGAACATTTCTCACAAGACGTAAATGCCTATCTTGGATTTGTGTTGTTGAGAACAAGGCATTAGATATGCATGTAATGGACCAATCAGAAGATGGGAAACGGATTTCGTTTGGGAAAAACAAATTCGCGTCCGGCTGAGGCCATAGCCAGAATTATGATCCTATCTGTCGGAGCTGCGTGCTTTATATAGACCTCTGGAGGCACATCTTAGCCAGTCCTTATATTATACAAATAATGAATGTTTGTGAGTGCAATGGCAAGAATAATTTCATGAGGTGACAGATGAATGTTCCATTCCACGAGGTGAAGCCGAATGGAATGGAACATTCGTCTGTCACCGAATGAAATTATTCTTTCCATTGCACGAATGTGAAACATTCATTATTTGTTTTATATAACACCTGAATATATCCTCTTCATCTGATTGGTTGACTTGTGAACTGCCACTTACATCAATGTTCTACTTTTTCAGACAAATTGGTGGTCCCTTCCAATATCCGATTTATTCAAAACTGTTGGACAAGTTCAGAACTAGCCAGCATATTCAATTTCGCTCGGTCTAAAACTATTCCACAACTAAGTTCAGAAGTTTCATGTCCAAGTTATGTATTTTAAAACTGTTCTCGACAAGTTCAGAACTACCATATGTAAATTCGTCTAATGGTTTGGCAGCAAATGTTATTTACTTCTTTGTGTTAGCAGCGTCAGTATTTATATAGAGTTCCGATATTTTTTCGGAGAACAAACGGAGATTCTCGCGTATCGTCGGCCAATTTGCCATTCTGTGAATCAGATTCGTAATACAGCGCCACCACCGGCATTTATGGAACCGTCCAATGGAAATTCTATTCACCGTGCATAGGGAACTTATATTTTGTGGTGCGGCCGCGCCATGCGTTGGGACGAATTATTCTATGATATGTGATCAACGATCCACCAATCAGATGAAGGGGAATATATTCAGGCGTTGTATAATTGCAAATAATTCACACGAGTATCAAGTCTATGGGGGAAATCTCTATGGAGGATTGTCCCGGCTGATAGACCATGGAGTTAGACATTCTATACAGCGCAAGATAAGAAATTCCGAGAGTGTGATGAGGAGCGTGTCCATGTAGATCACTCGTGGGTGTGTTTCGGGGAACTGATCCTAAAGGAAAAGGGGAAGAGGACATCTTTCTCGGTGCAAGAGGTTGTGTATATAGCCTTGGTCAAGGCGAGCGTCTGTGATGGTATTTGGCCGGCTGGGAGGGGGGGGGGAGAGGAGCTGTTTTTTGTCCGGTTGATTTCGGCTACTTCCATAATGGCTTATAATACACCCAACCCGAAAATCGCAAATGCAAAACCGAAACCGACCCGACCCGACTGACATGATGGACAAACCGACCCGACCCGACCCGAAGTCGGTTTACGTGCATTGCAAGAACAATAAAAAAAAACACGTGTGACTGCAATGACGACTACTGCTCAAACGCCTCAAATTATGAGGACCAGCATTTTGTTCTCCAAATTTCCTTTGCGTGGTAAGTAACACTAACACGGGTATAATTAGTTAACGTTCTTATTTTGTATTTAAATGATCTTACCGACTTGTGCACTTTCTCGCACAGTTTCCTCGTAGGTACAACAAATCCATCCCAAGTCAGTATAGAAATTAAAACGGCATGTCTTGCTGTATTGATTTACTTTACATAAATACAAAACTCTCGCTTCTTGTGCTTTTATCAGATGTTTGGGGTTTCACTTTTATTTGACATATAAATATGACTATGTAAGTGTAAGACTTTTTACCAACGTTCCTAAACAAAAAAGCAACTTCTTCTCTATCATTCTTTTGTCTCTTGCTAAAATCAAAAGATAATTGAATAAATAAACTATACTTGGAAAGGTTTTAGAAAGGAAGTCCACCCCCAACCCCTAACCCCCAGCTTTGAATCATCCTTATATTTCTGGCTTGAACCAAAAGGTAGTTAAATAAATAAATAAAGAGTACTTGAAAACGTTTCATTATAGATTAAATATTTGGTTTCATTTGCTGCTTGTGACAGGGTGATTGTGAAATACAGGACTGTTGCTCTGATTCACCGACAGTCAACGACGAACAGTCAATGTAGCAGCATCCACTCATCTCACCATCAAGATATGGATATGTTTACTGTGACAAGCAAAATGGCCACGACAATGGTACCAGAAAACATGGCAGTCGTTAGCAACATGTTGTCAGATTTTCTGTCATCGGATTTCACGACATCTGATACACTTGACGCAACTAGTGTCAGTGTCAATTCGATCATGACGACTACAGCAATGATGGAGACCACGACACAAGGTGACGGTCGCAACTTTCGCTTTGAAGACCCCGTACAGCGGATCATCATCGGCTGCGTCTACTGCCTCGTGGCAGTCGTTGGCTTCGCTGGGAACTTCATGGTCATCCTGGCTGTCATTCTGTCAAGGAAACTCCAAACCCGCACCAATGCTTTTGTCGTCAACTTGGCCTTTGCTGACTTGGTGACATGCAGTACTATTCCGTTCACAGCGTTGGCGCTGTTTAGCATGAATGGCTGGCCCTTACCGGGGTTACCGCTGATCGTGTGCTCAGTGGCGGCTGGTCTGTTCTATACCAGCCTGGGCTGCAGCATCATAAACCTTGCTCTGATAGCCATCAATCGGTTCGTCCTCGTCACAAAATCTTCGAAGACTTACAGATCTGTCTACACTCCGAAGAAGATTACGGCCATGCTGGTCTTCACGTGGGGGTACCCGGCTCTGGTGTGTTGTTTTCCCCTGTTTGGTATCGGCAAGTGGGGCTACTCCGAGAAGTACAAGGCTTGCGGCCAAGACAATTCCCATGAGACTAGCGATCTCTTCAGTTTGCTCGGCTCTCTCCTCGTGTATCCTATCCCGTTGATCATCCTCTTCGTGTGCTACTTCAAGATCTATCGCCACATCACCGGCCACATGAAGAAGTTGTCGGGTAAGGGTGTGGAACTAGCCGATACATCAAACCTCTCCAGTGCCAGCACCAAGCGACTCCCCAGGAACCAACCGGCCAGCTTCAGTAAGCGACAGGTTGAAATCACTAAGAACCTGTTGTACGTGGTCTGTGCCTTCGTTGCTTGCCTGGCTCCCTTTGCCATCGCCCTGATGATACCACCCAGCGACCCGGCCATTCCTTGGACTGGGATGATCACCATCTTCAACAGCGCTATCAACCCGATCATCTACGGGGCCAAACACCCACACTTCAAGGAGGTGTTCCGTCACATGTTGCGGTACCGGTACCACATGATCCCTGAACCTTCTGGATGCCTCCGTAAGATCAGATCTAGATAAGATGCTTCCCAGATGCTCTCCTCAGCATCAGGAGTGTGAGAACTCCCCCGCAAATGACTCTAGAGAAATATATTCTGCAGATTAAAAAACTTGTGTGCGAGTAACTGACATGTTTTCTGAAGTATTTTATTTTAATCAACGATATTCCCTGCATTATTTCTGTCAGTTGCATGAAACGATTAAAAACGCTGGAGTAGATTGATTGTTTTGGTTGTTTAACCATACAATTCTCTGACGTATTAAATATTAATGATTTAGCCATGTACGTCTCGTCAAAAAAGATATGCCTATAATATTGACATTAATATGTAGTAAACTTTTTGAAGTGAAGTTAAAATAAAGCAAAAGGTTTGTATGCCAAAGCCTAAAAGTGTAGAATAACAATTGACATCTGATGAACCAATTTATTAATACATGTACAGGTATCATTTCGACAATTTCATACATCAATGTATATTACTTTAGTGTACCTATTATCAAGAATGTAATTTCCATCTTTTGTCTGCATGCTTGCCTGCACGTGTATTTGTTAAAGACGAACTTTTAGGTCACATATGTAAAACTCTTGAGAGTATACGCTTGTCAATGCAATTTTTTTAACATCATGTTAAAGGACTTAACATCAATATACATGTACAGCGTACAAAACGTTAAGTCTAATAAATGTGTGTTTATTGTGATTTTCCTTCTCCCCAGTGGTGGGGGGGGGGGGGGGCCCGCAGGGGGTGGACGTGCCCCCCTCCCGCGGATATCCGTTCCCCTACCCATTTCAAATCTTGAATCGAAACAAATTACGGGGAAATGTTGAGCCAAGGTCACCACCGAAACGAATCCAATGCGAGCGCAAATAAATTAAAGATGCATTCCCCGTGCTATTTTCGAGTTTAATTCCGAAAAAAAAATAGACTCCTTTTAGTTTCTAGCAATACCAAAGTGATTCATTTTTGAATGAGACATACACTGAAAAAATTGGCCATGTATGTTCAGTTTACTTATTAAGTGATATTATGGTTATATAATACTTTACAATTTGGACTAATTGTCTGCCAGACAATAATTCCTGTTCTCGCGGGGTCTAGGTTAATTCACGCCCCACAATCAGTACCAACAATGTATGTAACGTCTCTTGTGGGGAGTCGTTACCAAATAAAGAGTCATCAGACGATGGATATGCTTGTATCTTACCATAGAGCTAGCGTCTTACACACAGAATAACAAGGAATATCTACATCTCAATAGAGGGCGCATCATAGTAATGTCAGGTTTGATCCTAGCATCAAGCGTAGCATCAGAGAACATGGAGAGCGTTCTTTCTCCCATACACATTTTGGCTGAGACCAGAGAGAAAGAGAGTAATGAAGGGTCAGTGTCCGACTGGCGAATTATTTTTCCCAAACAAGATCCGACAATATAACCAGGAATAATTCACCGACGATTGGCAGCTGATTCGTGTACTGGTTGGAAGTAGTCCTGACTTCTAATCAGGTGATTTTTCACTTCTTCTCATTTTACCTTTTAAATAACTAAAGTGAGGAAGGAAAATTTCTCACAAGACGTAAAGCCTATCTTGGGTTTGTTTTGTGGAGAACAAGGCATTAGATATGCATGTAATGGACCTATCAGAAGATGGGAAACGGATGTCGTTTGGGAAAAACAAATTCGCGTCCGGCTGAGGCCATAGCCAGAATAATGATCCTATCGGTCGGAGCTGCGCGCTTTATATAGACCTCTGGAGGCACGTCTTAGCCAGTCCTTATATTATACAAATAATGAATGTTTGTGAGTACAATGGTAAGAATAATTTCATGAGGTGACAGATGAATGTTCCATTCCACGAGCCAGCATATTCAATTTAGCTCGGTCTAAAACTATTCCACAACTAAATTCAGAAGTTTCATGTCAAATTTATGTATTTTTAAACTGTTCTCGACAAGTTCAGAACTACCATATTTAAATTCGTCTAATGGTTTGGCAGCAAATGTTATTTGCTTCTTTGTGTTAGCAGCGTCAGTATTTATATAGAGTTCCGATATTTTTTTCGGAGCACAAACGAAGATTCTCCCGTATCGTCCGCCAATTTGCCATTCTGTGAATCAGATTCGTAATACAGCGCCACCACCGGCAGCAATGAAACCGTCCAATGGAAATTCACCGTGCATAGTTTGTGGTGCGGCCGCGCCGTGCGTTGGGACGAATTATTCTATGACATGTGATCAACGATCCACCAATCAGATGAAGGGGATATATATTCAGGTGTTGTATAATTGCGAATAATTCACACGCGTATCAAGTCTATGGGGAAATCTCTATGGAGGATTGTACACTCAAGTCCCGGCCGATAGACCATGGAGATAGACATTCTATACAGCGCAAGATAAGTAAGTCCGAGAGTGTGATGAGGAGCGTGTCCATGTAGATCACTCGTGTGTGTGTTTCGGGGAACTGATCCTAAAGGAAAAGGGGAAGAGGACATCTTTCTCGGTGCAAGAGGTTGTGTATATAGCCTTGGTCAAGGCGAGCGTCTGTGATGGTATTTGGCCGGCTGGGAGGGGGGGGGGGGGAGAGGAGCTGTTTTTTGTCCGGTTGATTTCGGCTACTTCCATAATGGCTTATAATACACCCAACCCGAAAATCGCAAATGCAAAACCGAAACCGACCCGACCCGACTGACATGATGGACAAACCGACCCGACCCGATCCGAAGTCGGTTTACGTGCATTGCAAGAACAATAAAAAAAACACGTGTGACTGCAATGACGACTACTGCTCAAACGCCTCAAATTATGAGGACCAGCATTTTGTTCTCCAAATTTCCTTTGCGTGGTAAGTAACACTAACACGGGTATAATTAGTTAACGTTCTTATTTTGTATTTAAATGATCTTACCGACTTGTGCACTTTCTCGCACAGTTTACTCGTAGGTACAACAAATCCATCCAAGTCAGTATAGAAATTAAAACGGCATGTCTTGCTGTATTGATTTACTTTACATCAATACAAAACTCTCACTTCTTGTGCTTTTATCAGATGTTTGGGGTTTCACTTTTATTTGACATATAAATATGACTATGTAAGGGTAAGACTTTTTACCAACGTTCCTAAACAAAAAGCAACTTCTTCTCTATCATTCTTTTGTCTCTTGCTAAAATCAAAAGATAATTGAATAAATAAACTATACTTGGAAAGGTTTTAGAAAGGAAGTCCACCCCCGACCCCAACCCCCAGCTTTGAATCATCCTTATATTTCTGGCTTGAACCAAAAGGTAGTTAAATAAATAAATAAAGAGTACTTGAAAACGTTTCATTATAGATTAAATATTTGGTTTCATTTGCTGCTTGTGACAGGGTGATTGTGAAATACAGGACGGTTGCTCTGATTCACCGACAGTCAACGACGAACAGTCACTGTAGCAGCATCCACTCATCTCACCATCAAGAGATGGATATGTTTACTGTGACAAGCAAAATGGCCACGACAATAGTACCAGAAAACATGGCAGTCGTTAGCAACATGTCGTCAGATTTTCTGTCATCGGATTTCACGACATCTGATACACTTGACGCAACTAGTGTCAGTGTCAATTCGATCATGACGACTACAGCAATGATGGAGACCACGACACAAGGTGACGGTCGCAACTTTCGCTTTGAAGACCCCGTACAGCGGATCATCATCGGCTGCGTCTACTGCCTCGTGGCAGTCGTTGGCTTCGCTGGGAACTTCATGGTCATCCTGGCTGTCATTCTGTCAAGGAAACTCCAAACCCGCACCAATGCTTTTGTCGTCAACTTGGCCGTGGCTGACTTGGTGACATGCAGTACTATTCTGTTCACAGCGTTGGCGCTGTTTAGCATGAATGGCTGGCCCTTACCGGGGTTACCGCTGATCGTGTGCTCAGTGGCGGCTGGTCTGTTCTATACCAGCCTGGGCTGCAGCATCATAAACCTTGCTCTGATAGCCATCAATCGGTTCGTCCTCATCACAAAATCTTCGAGGACTTACAGATCTGTCTACACTCCGAAGAAGATTGCGGCCATGCTAGTCTTCACGTGGGGGTACCCGGCTCTGGTGTGTTGTTTTCCCCTGTTTGGTATCGGCAAGTGGGGCTACTCCGAGAAGTACAAGGCTTGCGGCCAAGACAATTCCCATGAGACTAGCGATCTCTTCAGTTTGCTCGGCTCTCTCCTCGTGTATCCTATCCCGTTGATCATCCTCTTCGTGTGCTACTTCAAGATCTATCGCCACATCACCGGCCACATGAAGAAGTTGTCGGGTAAGGGTGTGGAGCTAGCCGATACATCAAACCTCTCCAGTGCCAGCACCAAGCGACTCCCCAGGAACCAACCGGCCAGCTTCAGTAAGCGACAGGTGGAAATCACTAAGAACCTGTTCTACGTGGTCTGTGCCTTCGTTGCTTGCCTGGCTCCCTTCGCCATCTCCCTGATGATACCACCCAGCGACCCGGCCATTCCTTGGACTGGGATGATCACCATCTTCAACAGCGCTATCAACCCGATCATCTACGGGGCCAAACACCCACACTTCAAGGAGGTGTTCCGTCACATGTTGCGGTACCGGTACCACATGATCCCTGAACGTTCTGGATGCCTCCGTAAGATCAGATCTAGATAAGATGCTTCCCAGATGCTCTCCTCAGCATCAGGAGTGTGAGAATGAGACTATCTCACAAACAACTCCCCCGCAAATGACTCTAGAGAAATATATTCTGCAGATTAAAAAACTTGTGTGCGAGTAACTGACATGTTTTCTGAAGTATTTTATTTTAATCAACGATATTCCCTGCATTATTTCTGTCAGTTGCATGAAACGATTAAAAACGCTGGAGTAGATTGATTGTTTTGGTTGTTTAACCATACAATTCTCTGACGTATTAAATATTAATGATTTAGCCATGTACGTCTCGTCAAAAAAGATATGCCTATAATATTGACATTAATATGTAGTAAACTTTTTGAAGTGAAGTTAAAATAAAGCAAAAGGTTTGTATGCCAAAGCCTAAAAGTGTAGAATAACAATTGACATCTGATGAACCAATTTATTAATAAATGTACGGGTATCATTTCGACAATTTCATACATCAATGTATATTACTTTAGTGTACCTATTATCAAGAATGTAATTTCCATCTTTTGTCTGCATGCTTGCCTGCACGTGTATTTGTTAAAGACGAACTTTTAGGTCACATATGTGAATCTGTTGAGAGTATACGCTTATAAATGCCACTTCAATTTTTTTTTTTCAAAAGAAAGTGACAGGTTTGTTGAAATCACCGTAACATCAATATACATGTACAGCATACAAACGGTTGTCAAATTCATGTGTGTTTATTGTGATTTCCCTCCCTTCAACTGGGGGGGGGGGGGGGGGGCCGCAGGGGGTGGACGTGCATCCCCGCCAGCGGATATCCCTTCATCTAGCCATTTCAATCTTGAATCGAATCAAATTATGCTGAACTAATGAAATTATACATTTCACTTGCCTTTAGTGCCCGCTTTAAAATTGATGCACCCCCAGGTACCGCAGAATTTTGACCCTAGTGACGTCATTGCTCCTCTCTGCCCGAATCCTGTGCGTTGCTCGTCAGCACCCAGTAGTGGTGAATCTAGGGGTGGGTGTCGCAACCGCCCCCGTTCATCCGCTGACTATAATGTTATAATAAAAAAGGAAATTATTATTATTATTATTATAATTACCGACAGTTGGATAGTAGGGAGACATTTCAATTGACTTATACACACATTTTAATGACCCCAACCCTTAGTTTTACCTTATCTACCCCTCACGAATTTTGGTATTTTTTGGTAATTGGACCACGAGCTCGATCTAGCCTATTTGCGACATTAACATCTTGCCTCTAAGTAGGGGATGTGGAATTAGGGAGACATAATGTCTCCCTAATTCGACGTGTTTCCCAAAGGTATAACTTATGACGCTTAAGTGTCTCCTAAAGGCTATATTTGTTATTATAACACCGGCGCTTATATAGTGCAGTTCCAAATTAATGATCAATGCGATTTACAAATATATAAAAAAACTCCGAAAACAGAAACATCATGCAGAAATCACATAAGAGATCAAGTAAACAGGTGTGTTTGCAGGAGGTTTCTGTAGGTTTTGTGGGCTCGGAGCCAGTCTGATCGTTGATGGGAAATAATTTCCCACAGTGGCGTAGCCAGGAATTTTTGAGTGGAGAGGGGGGGGGGGGGAGAGGGGGCGCTAGGGGGGGGGGGGCTGGAACATTTCATGGGGGGGGGGGGCGTCATGTAGGTCAATGATAATTATTTTAGAAACTCAAAATCTCAGTGGGAGGGGGGGGGGCGACTGGGGGCGACAAGGTTTCATGGGGGGGGGGGGGGCTATCGCCCCCCAAGGCCCCACCCCCGTGGCTACGTCACTGATTCCACAATCTAGGGGCACAGATAGAAAATGACCTCCCTGCAACTACCCCTTAGCACCACGAGCCGGGTTGTGTCAGTGGCAGAGCGTAATCCGAGTCGTGATGGTTTGTAGAATGAAATGATGTTTGAGATATACAGTGTATATGGCAGTAAGACCATGGATTGACTTGTATACATATAACAGGAGTTTGAAAATAATGCGTTGTTCAATCGAGGGCCAGTGAAGAGCTAGCCGCGACATCAAACTCCGCTACCGCCAGCACCAAGCGACTCACCAGGAACCCACCGGCCAGCTTCAGTAAGCGACAGGTGGAAATCACCAAGAACCTGTTCTACGTGGTCTGTGCCTTCGTTGCTTGCCTGGCTACCTTCGCCATCGCCCTGATGATACCACCCAGCGACCCGGTCATTCCTTGGACCGGAATGATCATCATCTTCAACAGCGCTGTCGTTCCAATCATCTACGGGGCCAAACACCCACACTTCAAGGAGGTGTTCCGTCACATGTTGCAGCAAATGTTTTAGGGTTGCATTTCTTTGGGGTCACCCTATATATATTTTGAAACTGCAGCCAAAAAAAAAGGAAATATAGAATGATTGAATTATAGGAAAATGTTATTCCTCTTGCGATTCGTGATGATGTGATATTAGTAGTCATGTTATAACAGGGCCTCGGCCTTGAGGGTTAAGCCTCTGCCTTAGCCTTGGCCTCGACCTTGGACGACAGAGCCTTTGCCTTGGCCCATGTATCACATTCCACAACGTGAAGAGTGGCTCTACTCGGTACCCATCGTCATATTTAAGACCGAAGAGATGGTGACCTCTGAACACTTGACAATATTTTGTGAAGGAAACTCAAATTATTGCTGGTAGCTGGTCGCCATGACATTAATTCGATATTCTCTATTCACGAGATCTTTACGACTTGTACACGTATGTTTCCCTTAAGAACCTAACACTAAATCTGCCATTGGCGTTGAAATCTAGTCACTTGCCGAATTCCTATGTCGTAAATTGAACGACTTGCTCTTGAACGACGAACAGTCATTGCAGCAGCATATCCACTGATCTCACCATCAAGAGATGACTACGATAATAGTACTAGAAAACATGACAGTCGTTGGCACCATGTCAGATTTTCTGTTGTCTGCTTTTTAATTCACGACATCTTATTCACTTGACGCAACTAGTGTCAGTGTCAAGTCGAACATGACGACTACAGCAATGATGGAGACCACGACTCAAGGTGACGGTCGCAACTTTCGCTTTGAAGACCCCGTACAGCGGATCATCATCGGCTTCGTCTACAGCCTCGTGGCAGTCGTTGGCTTCGCTGGGAACTCCATGGTCATCCTGGCTGTCGTTCTGTCAAGGAAACTCCAAACCCGCACCAATGCTTTTGTCGTCAACCTGGCCGTGGCTGACTTGGTGACATGCAGCACTGCTCCGTTCACAACGTTGGCGCTGTTTAGCATGAATGGCTGGCCGTTGCCGCTAATCGTTTGCTCAGTGATAGCAGGTCTGTTCTATACTAGCCTGGCATGCAGCATCATGAACCTTGCTCTGATAGCCATCAATCGGTTCGTCCTCATCACGAAATCATCTAAGACTTACAGATCTATCTACACTCCAAAGAAGATTGCGGCTATGCTGGTCTTCACATGGGGGTACCCGGCTCTGGTGTGTTGTTTTCCCCTGTTTGGTATCGGCAGGTGGGGCTACTCCGAGAAGTACAAGACTTGCACCCAAGACACTTCCTATGAGACTAGCGATCTCTTGAGTTTGCTCGGCTCTGTCATCGTCTATCCCATCCCGTTGATCATTCTCTTCGTGTGCTACTTCAAGATCTATCGCCACATCACCGGCCACATGAAGAAGTTGTCGGGTAAGGGTGTGGAGCTAGCCGATACAGCAAACTCCACCATCGCCAGCACCGGGAACTCACCGGCCAGCTTCAGTAAGCGACAGGTGGAAATCACTAAGAACCTGTTCTACGTGGTCTGTGCATTCGTCCTTTGCCTGGCCCCCTACGCCATCGCCCTGATGATACCACCCAGCGACCCGGTCATTCCTTGGACCGCGATGATCATCATCTTCAACAGCGCTATCAACCCGATCATCTACGGGGCCAAACACCCACACTTCAAGGAGGTGTTCCGTCACATGTTGCGGTGCCGGTACCACATGATCCCTGAACCTTCTGGATGCCTCCATAAGATCAGATAAAGATAAGATGCTTCCTATATGCTATTCACAGCTATCTCACAAACACTCCCCCGGAAATGACTCTAGAGAAATAGATTAGTTCTGTCAGTTTCATGAAACGATTAAAAACACATGAGTATTTGTTTCGGTAGTTTAGCCATAAAATTCTCTGACGAATTAAATATTAATGATTTAGCCATGTACGTCTCGTCGAAAAAAAAAAAGATATGCCTAAAATATTGATATTAATATGTGGATAATTTTTGACGTGAAATTGAAAAAAGCTATATGTTGAAAAGCTGAATGCCGAAGCTTAAAAGTGTAGAATAACAATTGAAATCCGATGAACCAATTTATTAATACATGTACAGGTATCATCTCGACAATTTCAGATATCAATGTACAATTACTTCAGTGAATCTATTATCAAGAATGTAATTTCCATCTTTTGCCTGCATGCTTGCCTGCACGTGTATTTGTTAAAACTGTTCTCGACAAGTTCAGAACTACCATATCTAAATTCGTGTAATGGATTGGCAGCAACTGTTATTTGCTTCTTTGTGTCAGCAGCGTCAGTATTTATTTAGAGTTCCGATATTTTTTCGGAGAACAAACGGAGATTCTTGCGTATCGTCCGCCAATTTGCCATTTCGTGAATCAGATTCGTAATACAGCGCCACCACCGGTAGTAATGAAACCGTCCAATGGAAATTCTATTCACCGTGCATAGGGAACTTCTATTTTGTGGTGCGGCCGCGCCGTGCGTTGGGACGAATTATTCTATGACATGTGGATCATCGATCCACCAGTCAGATGAAGGGGATATATTTAGGTGTTGTATAATTGCGAATAATTCACACGCGTATCAAGTCTATGGGGAAATTTCTATGGAGGATTGTACACTCAAGTCCCGGTGTGGACGGTAATTCTGTCCCCCGTTAAAAGTGTCCGGGGGACAGAATTACCTAGGTAAAAGTGTCCTCTCCGGCCCATTAATTCCGTCCCCCTTCAGGTAATTCTGTCCCCTCCAGGTTTTTTTGTCCCCCTAGTTTTGCAACGCAGAGTGCCAGTTCTCTATCATTGTTTTGATGAATTCACTCTACAAGGTATACATTATTTACTTTTAAGTCTGCCCTTCATGAAGATGAAAAAAAACCCCAACTTTTTGGTCTCTTTTTTAGATGTGAAATGTGAACACAATGTTTCGATCGATTCGGAGTACGGTGAAAATACAGCAAGGTCATGCACTACAGTAGCCCTATACTATTGTGGACGCCTCATTGATATAACGCCTACTTGGATTGGTCTGCGTTCCCATCGTAGCGCGTAACGAAATTTCCTATTGGATGAATTTCCCTTGTGTAGCGGGATACACATAATACGCTGCCACAAATCTTGCAGCATGTACTTGCGGCGATGCGCGCTCACGAACACGACTCGTATCATCGCAGGGTGATACTTGCACGGGGACACATTTACCGGGGCGACACTTGCAACGTTTGGCAGGGGGACATATTTACCAGGGAGGGGGACAGATCTACCTAGGTAAATGTGTCCCCCGGACAGATTTACCGGGTCACGAGCCGGTAAATTTGTCCGGGGGGACACATTTACCTGGGGGGACAGAATTACCTGCCACAGGCCGGCAGATAGACCATGGAGTTCCTTCCTCCATGCTTAGACATTTTATACAGTGCAAGATAAGTAAGTCCGAAAGTGTGATGAAGAGCGTGTCCATGTAGATCACTCGTGGGTGTGTTTCGGGGAACTGATCCTAAAGGAAAAGGGGAAGAGGACATCTTTCTCGGTGCATGAGGTTGTGTATAATTATAGCCTTGGTCAAGGCGAGCGTCTGTGGTGGTATTTGGCCGGCTGGGAGGGGGAGGGGGGGGGGGGGGAGAGGGGAGCTGTTTTTTTTCGGTTTACTACGGCTACTTCCAAAATGGCTTATTACAGACCCGACCCGAAAATCGCAAATGCAAAACCGACCCGACCCGACTGACATGATGGACAAACCGACCCGACCAGACCCGAAGTCGGTTTACGTGCATTGCAAGAACGTTTTGAAAAAAAAAACACGTGTGACTGCAATGACGACCACTGCTCTCAAACGCCTCAAATTATGAGGACCAGCATTTTGTTCTCCATATTTCCTTTGTGAGGTAAGTAACACGGGTATAATAAGTTAACGTTCTTATTCTGTATTTAAACGATCTTACCGACTTGTGCACTTTCTCGTACGTTTCCTTAAAGAACCCAAAACAAAACCCGTCATTGGCATTGAAACCTAGTGACTTGCCAAATTGCTATTATGTCGTAAACAGGGCGATGATGTCAAGCACACTTTCTGCAAACCTGCACAGTTTCCTCGTAGGTACAACAAATCCATCCCAAGTCAGTATAGAAATTAAAACGGCATGTCTTGCTGTATTGATTTACTTTACATCAATACAAAACTCTCGCTTCTTGTGCCTTCATCAGATGTTTGGGGTTTCACTTTTATTTGACATATAAATATGACTATGTAAGGGTTAGACTTTTTACCAACGTTCCTAAACAAAAAGCAGCTTTAAATCATCCTTTTGTCTCTTGCTAAAATCAAAAGATAATTGAATAAATAAACTATACTTGGAAAGGTTTTAGAAAGGAAGTCCACCCCCCCCAAAAAAAAACCCCACAGCTTTGAATTATCCTTATATTTCTGGCTTGAACCAAAAGGTAGTTAAATAAATAAATAAAGAGTACTTGAAAACGTTTCATTTATAGATTAAATATTTGGTTTCATTTCCTGCTTTTGACAGGTTCGTTGCCGAAATACAGGACGGTTGCTCTGATTCACCGACAGTCAACGACGAACAGTCAATGTAGCAGTAATATTTTTTATTTTAACACCGGTGCTTATATAGTGCAGTTCCAAATTAATGATCAATGCGCTTTACAAATAAAAACAAATAAACATAAACAGATACATTGAAAGAGTAAATAGCCAAAAAAACCTCCGAAAACAGAAACATAAGAAATCACATAGGCCTAAGAGATCAAGCAAACAGGTGTGTTTGGAGGAGGCTTCTGAATATTTGTGGGCTCGGAACCAGTCTGATGGTTGATGGGAAATCATTCCACAATCTAGGGGCACAGATGGAAAATGACCTCCCTGCAACCATGCTTTAGCACCACGAGCCGGGTTGTGTCTGTGGCAGAGCGTAATCCGAGTCGTGAAGGTTTGTAGAATGAAATGATGTTTGAGATATATATGGGAGCGAGACCATGGATTGACTTGTATAGGCCTACATATAACAGGAGTTTGGAAATAATGCGTTGCTCAATCGAGGGCCAGTGAAGAGCTAGCCGAGACATCAAACTCCGCCACTGCCAGCACCAAGCGACTCACCAGGAACCCACCGGCCAGCTTCAGTAAGCGACAGGTGGAAATCACTAAGAACCTGTTCTACGTGGTCTGTGCCTTCGTTGCTTGCATGGCTCCCTTCGCCATCGCCCTTGTGATACCACCCAGCGACCCGGTCATTCTCATCATCTTCAACAGCGCTATCAACCCGATCATCTACGGGGCCAAACACCCACATCCACCTCAAGGAGGTGTTCCATCACAATTCACATGTTGCAGCAAATGTTTTAGGGTTGCATTTCTTTGGGGTCACCCTATATATATATTTTGAATCTAGGCAGCCAAAAAAATTGCATATAGAATGATTGAATTATAGGCAAATGTTATTCCTCTTTGCGATTCGTGATGATGTGATATTAGTAGTCATGTTATAACATGGCCTTGGCCTTGAGGGTTAAGCCTCTGCTTTAGCCTTGGCCTCGACCTTGGATGACAGAGCCTTTGCCTTGACCCTTGTATAACATTCCACAACGTGAACAGTGGCTCTACCCGGTACCCATAGTCATATTTAAGGGCGAAGAGATGGTGACCTCTGAACTCTTGACAATATTTTGCGAAGGAAACTCAAATTATTGCTGGTAGCTGGTCGCCATGATTAATACATTAATTCCATATTCTCTATTCAAACGATCTTTACGACTTGTACACGTTTGTTTCCCTTAAGAACCCAACACTAAATCTGTCATTGGCGTTGAAATCTAGTCACTTGCCGAATTCCTATATGTCGTAGATTGGGCGAGGATGTCAAGCTAAACTTTCTGCAAACCTGTGCATGTTAGTCGTGGGTGCAAAATCCTCCATCCAGGTCAGTATATAATTTAAAAGGGAAAATCTTGCCGTATCGATTTACTTTACATACGCGACACACAACTCACTCTGCTTGGTGATGTTTGGGGTTTCACTTTTATTTGACTTATGAGGGTTGAACGTTTTACAAACGTTCCGTGAAAAAAATAGTTTTGATTAATCCCTTTGTCGCTTGCTGAAACCAAAATATAATGAAATAAATAAAGTAAACAAAATACTTGGACAAGTTTCGTAAAGGAAGTCCAACTTTCAAAAACATATTTTTTCCCACCCTTGCATGCATCATCCTTTTGTTTCTGGCTAAAGCCAAAAGGTTATTAAATAAATAAATAAAGAGTACTTCAACACGTTTCATTTATAGATTATAAACGTTTGGTTTCATTTTCTGCTCTTGACAGGGTGGTTGCTGAAATACACGACAATTGCTCTGAATCACTGACAATGAACGACGAACAGTCACTGCAGTAGCATATCCACTGATCTCACCATCAAGAGATGAACATGTTCACTGCATGTGACAAACAAAATGGCCACGACAATAGTACCAGAAAACATGACAGTCGTTAGCACCACGTCATATTTTCTGTCGTCTGATTTCACGACATCTGATGCACTTGACGCAACTAGAGCCAGTGTCAATTCGAACATGACAACTACAGCAATGATGGAGACCACGACACAAGGTGACGGTCGCAACTTTCGCCTTGAAGACCCCGTACAGCGGATCATCATCGGCTTCGTCTACAGCCTCGTGGCAGTCGTTGGCTTCACTGGGAACTCCATGGTCATCCTGGCTGTCATTCTGTCGAGGAAACTCCAAACCCGCACTAATGCTTTTGTCGTCAACTTGGCCGTGGCTGACTTGGTGATATGCAGCACTGTTCCGTTTACTGCATTGGCGCTGTTTAGCATGAATGGCTGGCCCTTACCGCTGATCGTGTGCTCAGTGGCGGCTGGTCTGTTCTACACCAGCCTGGCCTGCAGCATCATGAACCTTGCTCTGATAGCCATCAATCGGTTCGTCCTCATCACAAAATCTTCGAAGACTTACAGATCTGTCTACACTCCGAAGAAGATTGCGGCTATGCTGGTCTTCACGTGGGGGTACCCAGCTCTGCTGTGTTGTTTTTCCCTGTTCGGTATCGGCAAGTTTGGCTATTCCGAGAAGTACAAGAATTGCAGCCTAGACAATTCCCATGAGAATACCGGTCTCCTTAGCTTGCTCGGCTCTGTCCTCGTGTATCCCATCCCTTTGATCATCCTCTTCGTGTGCTACTTCAAGATCTATCGCCACATCACCAACCACATGAAGAAGTTTACGAGTGAGGGTGTGGAGCTAGCCGACGCATCAAAGCCATCCACTGCCAGCACTGAGCGACTCGCCAGGAACCCACCGGCCAGCTTCAGTAAGCGACAGGTGGAAATCACTAAGAACCTGTTCTACGTGGTCTGTGCCTTCGTTGCTTGCCTGGCTCCCTTCGCCATCGCCCTGATGATACTACCAAGCGACCCGGTCATTCCATGGACCGGAATGATCGTCATCTTCAACAGCGCTATCAACCCGATCATCTACGGGGCCAAACACCCACACTTCAAGGAGGTGTTCCGTCACATGTTGCGGTGCCGGTACCACATGATCTCTGAACCTTCTGGATTCCTCCGTAAGATCAGATCTAGATAAGATGCTTCCCAGATGCTCTCCTCAGCATCAGAAGCACGAGAACGAGTCTGCAGATTAAAAAAAACTCGTGTGAGTAACTGAAATGCTTTTAGTCAACTCAATTCAATTCAATTAATTCACATTTATTTCCATTTCACAGTTCATAAAATACAGCTAAATATAGATTAAACAATTGGTGTATACTCAAACAAGTGCACATGTATATTAAATGTTAACTTGAAATTTACAAAGGTGAAAATGGAGGCATGTCCCGCGGTAAGCGGTTGCTTGAGCTGGGGATGCCATACAAGACAAAACGAACAGACGGAGAGCAACAGATAACTAGAAATGTGTTTGTGGACAAACACTGAGCTGTTTCGACCGTTTTATTAATGACTGCCGTAAAGGAGTTTCATCCAGGTCGAATGAACATGTACATGCGTATTCTATACAAAAAGTGTCTATCCTACGTCCCTGACTATGCATGAACATGAAATCTGTCAAAGTTAGCCGGAAATCGGCTAAAACGGTCACTGTTGACAGGATAGACCTCAGCAACTCGTGCGCTACGCGCGGGCTGACTGACATACGATATGTACAACGTACGTGCATGTACATGTACATTGTGGACTGTGCATGTTTTAAAGCAGAGTTATTGTCAACCTGAAGTTTTAAGCGTGCGCATGGCATGTCCGAGTTTGCTTATTGCCTTGAAGCTTTGAAATATTTTAGACCTACCCTTAAATAGACAATTAAAGTAAAAACTAATATAAAAACTGCCATGGTTGATTTTTCAGGAATTTTTTAAGGAAAAAGGGTTTTTTCATTATAACTTCCGGTCTGATGACGTCATACACCTTAAACTTTGCACACGTCTTAAATGGGTCAAGGTCATTATATACACCAATATTTAGGCGATTCCGACAAACTTCGCCACAGACATCTATTCAAAATACATTTTTGAAAATATTAAACCTGTCGCTAGAGGGCGCTCGAAGATTGCATGACGTCATCGGTAGATGATTTGAAGAATACTATCAGCCAAGAGACTAACACCGTTAAAAGCAAGTTCATATCTATTACCACTTTTAAATAATAAGCCACTTCCGGTTTGGGCCTTTTTCGACCGGAAGCAAGGGTCACGTGATTTTACGCACACTGAATGAAATAAAGACCTCAACCTACTCTACCACTTGCCGGCAACAGAATGCTGCGGACGTGTACGGTTGATTTCTTATGCATTTTTAAATATTAAAAGTGTCACAATTTAATTGCCCATAAATAAACACCGGATGACGTCATCATGACGTCATCGTTACACAATGTTGTTTGAATTAGGGTCATTGCTTGCACAAAGATTGGTGTAAATGAATTACTGGCAAAGTGTCGAAAATGCCCTCTGAAAATTGACATTTTTTTTTTAAATTTCTGTGTACAAAGTCTATGGGAAAAATTAAATATTCAAAAATCTATAATAAATCACGTGATGACGTCAGCATGACGAAAAGTTTCGGCGCACATCTTCAGATGGTGGTCTAAGTGTGTGCCAGGTTTGAAGTCGATCGGATTTGAAAAAAGTCCAAAAGTGCGTTGTAGAACGAAAACACGTGTTATCCTATGGAAAAAAAAGTGGAAGAAAAAAAAAAAAGAGAAACTAGAAATGTGTTTGTGGACAAACACTGAGCTGTTTCGACCGTTTTATTAATGACTGCCGTAAAGGAGTTTCATCCAGATCGAATGAACATGTACATGCGTATTCTATACAAAAAGTGTCTATCCTACGTCCCTTACTATGCATGAACATAAAATCTGTCAAAGTTAGCCGGAAATCGGCTAAAACGGTCACTGTGGACAGGCTTTGACCTCAGCAACACGTGCGCTGGCGCGGGCTGACTGACATACGATATGTACAACGTACGTGCATGTACATGTACATTGTGGACTGTGCATGTTTTAAAGCAGAGTTATTGTCAACCTGAAGTTTTAAGCGTGCGCAGGGCATGTCCGAGTTTGCTTATTGCCCCGAAGCTTTGAAATATTTTAGACCTACCCTTAAATAGACAATTAAAGTAAAAACTAATATAAAAACTGCCATGGTTGATTTTTCAGGAATTTTTTAAGGAAAAAGGGTCTTTTCATTATAACTTCCGGTCTGATGACGTCATACACCTTAAACTTCGCACACGTCTTAAGTGGGTCAAGGTCATCATATACACCAATATTTAGGCGATTCCGACAAACTTCGCCACAAACATCTATTCAAAATACATTTTTGAAAATTTTCAACCTGTCGCTAGAGGGCGCTCGAAGATTGCATGACGTCATCGGTAGATGATTTGAAGAATATTATCAGCCAAGAGACTAACACAGTTAAAAGCAAGTTCATATCTATTACCACTTTTAAATAATAAGCCACTTCCGGTTTTGGCCTTTTTCGACCGGAAGCAAGGGTCACGTGATTTCACGCACACTGAATGAAATAAAGACCTTAACCTACTCTACCACTTGCCGGCAACAGAATGCTGTGGACGCGTACGGTTGATTTCTTATGCATTTTTAAATATTAAAATTGTCACAATTTAATTGCCTATAAATAAACACCGGATGACGTCATCATGACGTCATCATTACACAATGTTGTTTGAATTAGGGGCATAGTTTGGACAAAGATTGGTGTAAATGAATTACTGGCAAAGTGTCGAAAATGCCCTCTGAAAATTGACATTTTTTTAAAATTTCTGTGTACAAAGTCTATGGGAAAAATTAAATATTCAAAATTCTATAATAAATCACATGATGACGTCAGCATGACGAAAAGTTTCGGCACACATCTTCAGATGGTGGTCTAAGTGTGTGCCAGGTTTGAAGTCGATCGGATTTGGAAAAAAAACAAAAGTGACTTGTAGAACGAAAACACGTATTATCCTATGAGAAAAAAGTCTGAAAAACAAAAGAGAAAAAAAAAAATAACAGAAACAAGAGCTGTTTCGGTGTGTACACCGAAACAGCTAACTAGAACTATGTGGTTGTGAGTGAACAACCACAGAGCTGTTCCCAACATGTTTTTGATTGTCTATTGCACAGTAAAAAATGATTCAATGATTTGTTCTAAACACGCAGAAGATAAGGCTTTTCCGCATTATGATTTGTTTTAATCAATAATACGTCCCTGACTATGCATGAACATAAAAATCTGTCAAAGCTAGCCGGAAATCGGCTAAAACGGTCACTGTGGACAGGATTTGACCTCAGCAACACGTGCGCTGCGCGCGGGCTGACTGACATACGATATGTACAACGTACAACGTACGTGCATGTACATGTACATTGTGGACGTCCTGTGCATGTTTTCAAGCAGAGGTATTGTCAACCTGAAGTTTTAAGCGTGCGCAGGGCATGTCCGAGTTTGCTTATTGCCTCGAAGCTTTGAACTGTTTTAGACCTACCCTTAAATAGACAATTAATTGTCTGATTTTTCAGGAATTTTCTAAGGAAAAAGGGTCTTTTCATTATAACTTCCAGTCTGATGACGTCATACACCTAAAACTTCGCACACGTCTTAAGTGGGTCAAAGTCATCATATATACCAATATTTAGGCAATTCCGACAAACTTCGCCACAGACATCTCTTCAAAATACATTTTTTCAAATTTTAAACCTGTCGCTAGAGGGCGCTCGAAGATTGCATGACGTCATCGGTAGATGATTTGAAGAAGACTATCAGCCAAGAGACTAACACTGTTAAAAGCAAGTTCATATCTATTACCACTTTCAAATAATAAGCCACTTCCGGTTTTGGCCTTTTTCGACCGGAAGCAAGGGTCACGTGATTTCACGCACACTAAATGAAATAAAGACCTTAACCTACTCTACCACTTGCCGGCAACAAAATGCTGCGGACGCAGACGGTTGATTTCTTATGCATTTTTAAATATTAAAAGTGTCACAATTTAATTGCCTATCAATAAACACCGGATGACGTCATCATGACGTCATCATTACACAATGTTGTTTGAATTAGGTTCTTTGCTTGGACAAAGATTGGTGTAAATGAATTACTGGCAAAGAGTTGAAAATGCCATCTGAAAATCGACATTTTAAAAAAAATTCTGTGTACAAAGTCTATGGGAAAAATTAAATATTCAAAATTCTATAATAAATCACGTGATGACGTCAGCATGACGAGAAGTTTCGGCACACATCTTCAGATGATGCTTAATAACTATGCTGAGTTTAAAGTTGATCGGATTTAAAATAATTGCCAAAGTGGCTTGTAGAATAAAAACGTGTACAAAACCTATGGGAAAAGTGGAAAAAGAAAAAAAAACTAGAGGTCTATTTCTGTTTGCAACAGAACATAGGGCTTTTCCGCATTATGATTTTTTTGTAATCAATAATATGCCCTGAATATGCATGAACATAAAATCTGTCAAAGTTAGCCGAAAATCGGCTAAAACGGTCACTGTGGACAGGATTTGACCTCGGCAATACGATGTATGTGCGTGTGTACAAGGTCTTTGCTTGGACAAAGAGTCGAAAACGCACTTTGAAAATCGACAAATATTTTTTTAAAATTTGATGACGTCATCGTGACGTCACCTCGAACTTTGCATACTAGTATGATTAACTACCTACCCACCAAGTTTCATGACAATTGGACCTTTCCTGATATGAGTTTTGAAAAATCGCATTTTGATAAAGTCATGATGACGCCACACATTTTTCAAGTTTTGTGCGAATAGCTATTACATAACAGACCAAATGCAAAAAAGAATTTTGCATTTTGCATGTTGCGTTCGGGAGATATGGCTAAAAGGTCCAAAAAAATTAATATTCATATAAAATCTCAGGATGACGTCATCATGACGTCACCTCATTTTTAATCTATAACACATCCTGGTATAGCCACATACCAAGTTTCAACCCAATCGGACTTACATTTCTGTAGATATAAGACTTCACAATTATGTACGTAAATTTTCAAAAATCAATAAAAAAATTAGGTGATGACGTCATCGTGACGTCATAGTCTTGGCATAATTTTTGTATGAGGGTCTTTCTTGTCTGTAACTTTGATGACGATTCCAGATTGCCAAAATACGAAAATGGTGGCTTGAAAACGTGTACAAAGTCAATAGGTTAAAAATCACACAGCAGAAAAACTGCACCTTTAAATGCGTGATTTTCCTTTAAACTGAAACATTTTTATAAAATATTACTTGCTATTCTAACTCTTGGGAATATTTTCAATCAAATGAAAGGCGTAAAAAAATACGATTTCTTTTTCCTTCTCATAGTAATTCTCAGCCGAAGTTCAGAACTACTCAGCAA